AATATGTTTAATGTGCAAGTTAGGGCTAGTTAGCAAATGAATATGTTTGATAAATATCCTTTATAGGAATTAGCACATAAAACAGTAAGCAAACAATAAAAAACATACAACTAAAAATACAATCTAATAATTTTTATAATTATAGATAAAAAAATAACACTAGTAATTGCAGCTAATTTTTTTTCATTTCATATTAAACCTTATTTTCCTGGCAATACATAAACTAATTCATTCCAAAACAAAACTCATAATACACCTTTTTTCACTTCTAACCATTTTCAGCCACTAATTCTGAAATTTGCTTCTATTCTAGCCAAACTTTGAGATTTTACAATTGCTCCCCAGATCATATGTAAGTAACCCTGACTACAGCACAAATGTGAGTAGTATATAGAGTTATCTACTTATAACAATGATCTTTGAATGAGTGATGTTGATAAATTTCTTTCTGACAGGCTGTTAATAAACAATAAAAAGAAGAATTACATAAGGAATAATGTTATTATACACTTTTGATGTTAATCCATCTTTCCTAAATATTTTCAATTTAACATAATAACCTAGTATAAAAAAAACATAATCAGACGAGTCACAATACTTGCCTTGCTTGATAAGGAAAGTACATCAAAACTGTTTCCAAATTAATAATATTTTTATTTAGATTTCATAAAATAAAGTTAGCAAAATTATGTAAATTACATCCAAATAATCTATTGTTAAGCCTGAACCAGTGTCTGAATATTTTGCTTTTGAAAACCAAAATGAGTGCTTGTAATTTAAGCCTAATCCAATTAACAGCAGTTTCCAGTAAGTATCTGAATTAAATGCAAGAGAATTTCAACTCACAGAAAGAACACTTTCTACTTCCAAAAAGTGATGCAGCATAGCCTTGGCACCAGTGCGTTGCCAGTCCATAACTTGATAGAGGGCATCACTGTCTTGAACGTGAATGGGAACTAGTGGAAACTCTGCTAGACCCGGCATTAACAATGTCATGTCATGAGGCTCTGCAAAAATAAAGAGTTAATAAAAAATTCAGTATAATACATATTCATTGAGAATTTTGTTGCACTGAAAAAATATAAACTATCAATTCCTTCTTATCAAACAAATATAATTTCAGTCTGATAAATAAAAAAGTTCAATAGACAATATTTTGAAATGTATAGTTTCAACAGAAACTCATTTATATAAATCTCCTCTTATATAGGAAAAAAACTTTCTCTCAGAAAAACTTTGAAAAGGAAAATAAAAATCAGTTTAACTTTGCCATTATTGTGAACTGTATATTTTAGTTATAATTACTGCTACATTTTTATGAGGTTAACAAATAGCAGTTTTAGCTTGGCCTATTTTTATGAATGATTTGTTTAGCCAAAGTGGTTATCCACTTGTACTGCATCAGTTTAACTTTGCCATTATTGTGAACTGTATATTTTAGTTATAATTACTGCTACATTTTTATGAGGTTAACAAATAGCAGTTTTAGCTTGGCCTATTTTTATGAAAGATTTGTTTAGCCAAAGTGGTTATCCACTTGTACTGCATCAGTTTAACATATCTCAAATATTTAATAAATCTGTACACATGTTTCAAGTAAAAAAGCACACACAACTTTTAATAATCATTGTAGGTTAGTTAAAAAGATAAACTTACTATGAGCAGACTGTAGGGCTATCATAGTTGGTCCTCGCTTCTCATCTTGATAGGTAGAAAGGTGGCGCTGAAGTTGACGGTAAACTTGTCGAACATCCGTTTCTGTACGGACTTCAAACTGAAATCCACTATCAGGCAGCAAAGTTTCATCTGTGCCGTGAGAAATTCTGTAAAAAATCAGCATTTTTCCTCAACAATGTTTTGTCAAAGGGTTGATTATTGAGCTGTAGTGCTTGAGTTCTGTAATCCACGTGGACAAATCGTCTAGTTCTCAGATATCCTGAGAAAAAGCATTTCACATGGCACTCTGCAAATGATCTTTTCACGATTCATGTGGAAACCAAAGCTTTACATATTACCAAATATTTCAATAGAAAGTCACAATCACACAAACCCAGATCAAAGTAACACTTCATAACAAAATAAGAACTCATTAAACTTGAAATACAAAAATGTAGAAACTAAAGGAAAGAAAACAGTAACTAGCTGGTTAAGTTACAGGCTTTGTTTTCTAGAAATGAAACTTGTTTAACAGAAAGTTCAGGTAGAGATGACTGTGCTCGGTTCGAGACTGGTGTGGACTACATCTGCTTTAGCTGTTTGTAGACATTGTTTTGAGATTCTAGAAGATTAAAACATCATCCAAAAGTTTCTAAGGAAGAAGCAGTCCACACAAGTGTCCAATTAAGTTTTATAACTGCAGGATACAATTATCACTAGATGTAAAAAACAAAAGTTTTACTAAAAGTCTACGCTAAAAGACACAGAAATCTATTAAATCTATATACATGTTGAAATTAAGTAAAGATTTAATCATTTTTCTTTCAATAAATAATATCAAACTATGACTGACAGAGAATTATACAAGCAGAAAATAAAAGTTAAATAGTTATTGTTTCAATAAATATTGTTAAACTATCTTTGAAGAAAACAATTCTAGC